TGTTCAAATTCCGCCCAAGTTTCATGCCTGGTAAAAAGTATCAGTGGGGTGATCAAAGCTCTGCCATAAAACCACTTGCTTATCTGAATTTTCTTATACCAATATAATATTTCCATCATCCGAAAGCTTTACACTTGTATTACTGCTAGTAGCAGAACCATAAGTTATCATGATATACCCACCTCTCCTGTCCATTACACAAAATGTGCTTTCATAATCCATTAGATTATGGAATATCATACAAGTTTCCCTTCATTGTTGATCATTGAAATCCCTGAAGAATCTATAACAGGTCTGTCCCTGGTAGCAACCCATACTACTGTTTTCACAGTTACTCTATTATACCATATTCCAACATAGCGATTCTTAAGGTTCAAGTTGGGACCGAAGAAGCTGAGTTCAAAGTGGCCTTCTGCAGAAACTAAAGTATGGCCGTCTTTGATCTGTTGGTCATTTGTTATTGTGTCTGGGCTAACGGTGTAAAATACCAATCTAATATCCATCAGTTCATGGTCTCTGCTGACTAAACTCAAGTCTGCTCCAAGTGGTTCATTTTCTTCATTCTTCTTGCTCTGAGATCAACTGATCAAAGTAACCTTCATTCCAAAAACCTTAGCTAATGTTTCTCTTGATTTTTTAAGAAATGGAAAACATATCATGTGCTTTTACCCACACTTTTTGGCTTTATGCCCCCATTTAATGGCATTTATTGAATCATTTTCCATGACAACACATGGTGGCTTTGTTTTCCTATTTGGGAATCTATAAAGAAGGCATTAACTTAGTTTTAGTATCGTCTGCACAATCAGTAGGGAAACACTAAGACCAAAACATACCATAATTAGATTTGAAGATCACCCATATTTTTCAAGGTGCCAAGGCAATACTAAGCAACAGGGGAGTGCCTTATTGCCTAGGTGATGGTTTTCTTTTTCTTTTTTTTCTTTGAATAAAATCCATGAGGACCAACCCAACCATTGTTCCAAGTCATAGAAGAATTATTTTTATATTTTTTGTTAAAATAATATAAATTATGAACATATAGAAATACACAAAATAATGCTGGATTAAAAACATATATAAATACACAAAAAAAAATTGCATGCCTTTCATGCAGCATAATTACTTTTTCTTTGTTGCTGGATTTATTTTCCATTATGGGGGGGCACCTGATGGTTGTCAAGTAGCCATATTTGAAACCAACATTATACATACCACTGGAACAGACATATCAAAGAGTTCAAAGCAATTATGCCAATGCTTCATCAACTGAGTCATATAGTATGACAAAGTACATGCTTTAACAAAATTCAGAATCCCAGAAAGCTATAACCGTATCTGTGCCATATATTAAATCTATATGTAGCGAAAAGAATTCTAACACCTACTAAAGGGCATTCTTAATAAGGAAGGCATTTGGGATGACTTCCCTTTCAACAACGATCATGGAATTTATTAATTTTTTGATAATTAGAAATAATTGTTTTGAATTAATATTCAATATTACAGATTTCATTGTTCTAGACATTATTTTTATATCTCCTTTTAGTCCTTTAAAATCCAGATTTTGTGAAGTTCATTGTCCATCAGCTGATTTACCCAACCGATTTTGAAGATATATTGACAAGGTTAGTACCATCTTCTTTCAAGTGCTCATTGTATTAAGGTTTCATTAGCTCCTTTACACATGTCAAGACCCCATTTCATTTTGTTTGACCCTAACAAAATGCTATAAAGCATTGAAAAATACACACGGTTATACTATGTTACTTGTATGGTGTTTTGAAAGTCATAGGCCTTGAAGACTGGACCAGGCCCAGGTTTATATTTCAGGCTTGGGGTCTGCGGGTTGGGCCTGGGCTATAGCCCTTATTATAGGTGCTAAGCTCAGTTTGGCGCAGCCCCGCCCCGCCCCTAACTCCTTGATTTCAGCACAACTTTGTTGGATAACAGCATTGAATGTTGTAAGATAGCATTGAACTTAATAATAAGCATGTGCTAGAGTATATTTATAAACATTTAAAACCAACTAAAAAATGGCATAGACCATAGAGGTAAAGTAGGAACTTAACATCTTTAGTCAAGATTGGGAAATTCTAGGTCTCTGGAATCCCAGCATCAGAAGTTGGGGTGGGGGTCATACTTCCGGCAATGAAGAAACTCTAAAAACAAATAAAGATTCCAATGTTGCAGACTTGGTGATGAAGAAATATCAAACTTGAATACTTGTTTAATAAATCCTGTTTATATTGCAATACAAGTTGGTTCTCATTATGGATTGTTGATCAGTATAAAGACACAAATGAGGACAAAAATAACAGAGACTGACATGCAAATGTTGCCTGCTCGAGATTATAAAAACTAATGAGTATTGGTTCATACCTTTCACACCTAAGGTCACTGATTATAAACTCAGATTCAATGCTGAAGTTCCCACAGGTCTCAGTGGAGTAAAACCAGTTGTAGAAGGGAACAAGGCTCAGTTCCACAAAGCCAAAGGTCTCACCCCCTAATTATGGCTTCTCTCCAAGCTATCCTCGTAAAACTTTCAGACTCAGCATTTACTTTGTGAGGTACTTCTCCCTTGTGACCACCCAATAGAAAATTTTGAATTTTGAAGGGGCAGCAATTCCCCAAATGGTCTTATTCGATACAACAACATGAAGTTTAGCAAGATTTGGGTGTTGCAATCCAGAAATCATGCTAATCTCATTTACAAATTCACTTTCCTTGCTTTGATTTAGAAGAAAGGAGTAATGGCATACAAATTAAACCCAACTGATATTTTACCAAACATTGTATAGGCTGTTTACTGCATGAAAGTTGTTGGCTGCATCTTTATTTTGACTTAAGGTAAAGGAACCTATTTGCAGATCTAGCCCTCTTAAATCTATGCAATGAGCCAGGTAAGAGAATGCTGATTATTGAAGAGTCACTTTGGTGCTTTGCATCTACATGACATACTTTGATTAATGCCAGAACCATAAATTTTCAAATACAAAATGAAATAATAATAATCCAAGTTCTCTTGAGGGAAATTTTTTCAGGTTTATTTAAATTTATCAATTTCATATTATCTATAGTAAATTTAATACCAAATGTCCATGAAATTGCAAGAGACCCAAATTGTTTATGCTAAAACTGGTATATGGATTTGACATTTAACTTGGCACTGCGTTTCCTACACATAGAATGCCTTTTTATACCATCATTCTTCACTATCATCATTGTAGATAGCTTTTTGTTCCAATTTGCTTCATGGTTTTTTCTCTATTCATAAAATGGTAAAAACTAAAAAGCCCCTTTCTAAAGCTGCGTCAGTTTACTAGGCTTACACAGAATTGTAACAGATCCAATAACAATGTCAGATGACACAGAAGATAATTGGTTGCTGAGACTCATATTAGAAACCATGAATTTCACTAGATTTAACTATATTGAACTTTGGTTTTCAGATACTCCGAAGGTGGAACCCCCAAGGCCTCCCACAGAAGGGTGTTTTGACGTAGTTATAGATAATGATAGTATTCAGCGTCTCGACATTTCACCAGTAATTAGCTCACTTTCATCAGGTAAGTAAGTATCCGTTTGTGACTTCTCATTCTGTGATGCTTCAGCCCAAGAATCTGAACTCTTTATGTTCACTGAAAACTGTTTTTCCAAATTTACATATTTTAACTTKTAATGGAATTTCCAAGAATTCCACCGGGAAAATGCCTGCAGATGGTGTCTGTGCAGAGCCAAAAGAGCTTCTTGAATGGAAAGTTGGTTTTACCACAAATTATACAAGAGATGATCCATATGATCCTCGTGAACTATCTGAATTCCCAGATATAAGACTGATTTGTGAGGCTTGATTCTTCTTATCCATGGTTGCTTGTTGTATTGGACTGGCGAGCCGGAGCACTTCCTCGCTATGCAGCCATGTTGGTTCCTCACCAGGTACTGCATTACTGATTAAGTTGATTAACTTATTTGCTTGCTAGACAATTCATTAGATTCCTAAGGTCCCAAGTTTCTTTTGGCAGATGAGCATGAGAATGGGTGTTGTATTCAACCCAGAGGCATTGGAATTCTTTGCAATGAAGAAAGCTTTTAATGTGTACTCTTGGTTGAAGCAACATAAAATTCAAAAGTCCAAGTTGAAGACAAGAGACATGGGTAGAATGCTTGGATTTGATATAGGGGATGAATTGTTTGATCTGATTGATGCACACCCCATTTCTCCATCGTAAGCTGAGAATTTCTGTAGTTTCAATATGTGGGACCTTGCATGAATATCCAATTCCCAGCAAATTTGTGAAGCTCGTAAGTACTGGCATTGAGGACATTGAATTTGAGAAAGTTAGAGTGGAAGGACAACAGAGAAGTGAATGCAATCCTTTTCAATAACAAGTAGAGTGTTTTGATGACTGAAGTATTATATTGCTCTTCACACTCAAAAAAAAAAAAGACAACAAAAGAAGAATATGTATCATTTTGTTTGACAGAGTATAATATAATTCAAAAAAATTTTCTTTTATTCAATCATTTATATAGTAGCTAACAAATATTTTTGTTCATTTCTAAATTTCCTTGATTGCCAAAAAACTTTATTAAATTTCTCTCTATTAATCCAATGGTTGAAACTCCATATCTACATTTAACATGGAAAGTGGGGTGGCTTCTTTTAAGCCTCTTAATTATCAGCTGATAACCATAGGCAAATTGTATTCCAAATCTGCACTTATTTACAGATTTTAATTATCGGTCCTCATACTCTAAGATAGACATGACTGCAATTCCAAGCCCTTTCCTTCTCCCTAAAACTTCTTCCTTCCCATCTTTAGTAGTGCTAATGCTTGCCCTCTTTCCCTATTGCCTAAGCAATAATAATTCTGAATTTTTGCTTTAATGTGATCAGTGTACAGATTATAATGATAATGCTTAACTTCTGTTGTCACATGAATATTGTTGAGCTGAAGTGAAGGCTATTCTAATTATTTCATTGGTGCAAGTAGATAGGTTTACCTCTGGGAATGAGGGCCTAGATCAATCATGTAGGGGTGGCTTGCCAATTGCTTTAATGATGCGGAGATGCATTTTAGCTCTGATGATATGTATGCTTCTTTCAACTTTACATTTTTATGCAATCAGTTTGCACCTTCATTTGAATAATTTTTCTTTCGATGCGCATGGGCTGCAGCAATGTGTCTGGGTTGCTTGATGAGCAACTTGATATTTCAGGTATTTCATATAACTTCATTCAATTAATCAATAATTTGATTTATTTAATGCTATGTTAACTAAAAATTTTTTGACATAATATTTTTCTCCCTAGAGTTCTGCAACACCCCTCCTGAAGTAGAAGAACCTAATATTGTGCAAGAATGTGCGACCCCATCTCCTTGGAATGTTTTTAAAGGTACTAATCTGTTTGCAGTCTTTAATTTTAGTTTGTCCTGTTCAGATTTCAAAAGATTCAATTTTAGAGTTCCTATTTGACATACATAGGAAGGAAATTGTACATGCGGATGCCCACAAAACTTGCTTCTTCTGTGCTTATCCATTTGCCCTCATTAAACCCTGTGGGATCCATGTAAATGTAACTCTGAAGGACATAAACCAGAGGATACACACACTACCATCAAAGTCAAAGCACAATATTGATGATGACTCTTATGCTTCTTACCCCACTTCAGCCTTTTCTGGAAAGCCTTTAATTGTTAAAACCAAAATTCGCACGGAAGGAGGCAAAGGTAGCATTATAATTGATGAAGGGTGATTTGGCCCGATCTAGTAAAAAGGGGACACGTGGACACGATTTGACCAAGAGATGATAGCTCAGCCTGACATGCTTAGTTCGCAACAGTTGAGCTCGGACACCCAACCACTTTGGCATTAAGTCACCTCGGGACAAGGCCACCTCGGTCCCAAGGCACTTCGGCGTTTAGTCCAGTTCGGAACTAAAAAGTATCAGCTCGGGGATACCGACCCAAACCACTACGTGGCAACCCCAAAAATCTCTCCAACAGACCCTGAACCTCGTGGGATTATGCTGCATAACGGCGAGCCTTATCTCCTCCCCGCCCGGTTCGGGAGGAATTGATAAGTCTTATCAGTTGGTAACATTATCGGAAATGGATCCCATCATGACAAAGATCCCGGAACCGATCCACAAAACCCGCGAGGACTCAACTATATAAAGGCTCCAACCCCGAGGGCACAAGGTACACGTGATTTCTCTACTCTCTACATTCTTAAAGCTATTTCAGCTCGCAAATAACTTACTAACTTAAGCATCGGAGCGATCTCGCCGGGCTAGCCACCCCGGGTTCTCGTCTCATTTTGTAGACTTACCTAGCTCACTGTCCAATTGGAAGCTAGATCATCCTCCAGCAGAGAGCGGTCAGATCACGTAACATCAAATCATGAGAACCAAAGTTTAAATGTATACGTTTTCTTTTATTTCCACCCCGTTTTCTGTGGCTTCTCTCCCCATTATTTTTGTTGTGAGGGTTATTTTGTTTAATTTCTGAGGCCAGTTTAAAAGTTGACGTTGGGGCTTTTTGAAGGAGAGTTGCTGGTATTCATCCAACAATTTAATGTGTTTATATTRAAGTGGTTTTTAGGAGTGAGATCACAGCTGATGTTTATGTATGCAATTCAGAACTAGAGCAAGGATCTTAATGTCTTAGAGATCCTTTTACCCACTTTTAGCTTTGGCAAGTTATAATTGTGCTTTCACCATATTTCATAATGTGCAAAGTTCAGAGTACCTTTACTCGGTAAATCTTGTGGCCTTGTTGTGTCTTTGTGCTCTTTATTAGTTTTACAAATATTTTGCTATGCTACTTTGATGTTTGTTATAAGATCTGTTTAGACTTTTCAAGGGAAAAATAAGATGAGATTTGGCTGTTTGAGGACTATAAAATCATGACGATAAATCTTGTCCAGAACTTGGTCTTATGGGCTTCATTTGGTTCTTATAAATATAAAAAAGTGAAAGAAACTAGAAGAATATAAAGAATAGGAGGAAAGAAAAGATTTCTTTTCTTGAAAGCGCTTAATTGGGCAAAAACATGGCAATTTCGAAATAGTTGCAGGGATGGGGCCCACTACTGTGGGTTCTCTCCACTTTTCTTTTTCTTTTCTTTTTTTTTTTTTTGGTTTGAGAAATGGGTTTTATCCACTTTCTTAGGCTTGACCAAATGCTTATTTTAGGACTTTCATGGTAAAATCTAGAATATTTCTCATTCTCTCATTTTCTGGACAAACAAACTTGTCACAAGAAATTTGCTGAGAAACATAGTATGCCATCATTAACTATAAGTCCATCTATGTTTATTGACCAAAAGTTGCACCATGATTGAAAGTTGTGTAAATATTCAGTGAAGGGAAAATTTAGGAGTAGGTTAAATACATTGGCAATCAACAAATGGCTTCCATTATAGTCCTTTGGGTTAGTGTTCTTGATCTAGAATCAGGTTCATATTACCATCAACACAACCTTATTCAGCTTGGATGTTCTTCAATAAATGTTCTTGCTCTTGCAAATTATGCTTGTGCCTTGAACAGTTATAAGGACACCCCAGCTATAATTCAAGATACAGATTGACCAGAATCCACTATTTATAAATAAAAAAAAATTGTTCATTTGTTCAATCATTTATATAGTACTTAAAAAATAATTTTGTTAATTTCTAAATTTTATTGTTTTCCACAAAACATTATTAAATTTCTCTCTATTAATCCAATGGTTGAAACTCCATATCTACTTCCATTTAAGCATTATAATTATAACCTCCCACGTGCAACGCACGTGCCCTTTTACTGGTTTGTATAAATGTCCAATAGCCCAACTTGTGACAGTTCTTGGTAAGTTAAAACTAAGTATATATAGGGTTGGGTTAACTGGGGCATGCCTTTATTTAGATTGTAGATCAACCAACATGCATATGAACCAGATATTAAAGACCGATAACTTTAGCTTTTGGTGGTTATAATTACCTAAACTATTTTCTCTTCCTCCTCAAAGACAATAAGACCAAAGGCTACAATTATAATCAATAGTGTGAAACAATTGATACATTGTTGATATTGATGGTCCAATGTTGCCTTGTGTAGCCATTGAAGAAGGCTTACATGTCTGAATTGTTGCCAGCATAATTTCAAATAAATTAAACCATATAGCCATTGGGGAATGAATTGAAGAAGGCCCATACTTTTAAGAATCTAAACACACAATGAATTTCCAGGAACAAGTACAAACTTAAAAACGTGTGGGGTCTTAGAACAAAAAGTTTTCAATGCACAAGTTATAGTTAGGATTAGAGGCATTCAGAATTCACACCAAAATATCCATAAAACCACATCAACCAAGGATTGTATCAACAAACATGTACCATATGCTCAGTTTGGAAGGAGTACAAATACAAATATGTACAGTATAAATACATACAAAATAAAACAAAATGCAAGATTATGCACTCTACATATTTGTATTTGTATTCCTTCTGAACTGAGACATAGGTTTAGTTATGAAAGAGTATAAATACAAATATGTACAAAACAAATATAAGGTTTATAATACAATATATAAGGTTTTGCATTATACATATTTGTATTTGTACTATTCCCAAACTGAGCCATAAATGCTTTTTTTTTTTTTTACAGAACATTGAATCCATTGTTGTCTTCTTAAGAAAAATAACAATGAACAAAAGATTCCAATGTGATATAAGAAGAAGAAGTTTGGTGGAAATTAAATAAGGGAAAAAGATAACAAGGTGATCCCTAGAGTCATATTAAATAAAAATAAGTGTGATAAATAAGAATTATCTTGATTGATGTTTAAAATACAATAAAATTAAACTAACTTGAAAAGAAAATTGTTTTTCCTATAAACACATACATTTATGTCAAAATTTAGTTTGGGCTTTTTAACAAACTTGAGCTTGGTTTGGGCAAAGCCCATCCTACGTGCATCAAATTTCAATGTTGACTAGCCTTGGGTTGGATAGATTAGGCTTGACCTCAAGCTTGGTTATGCTTAGGCCTTAAGCTCCATTCTTAGGGTTAGGCCTGGGTTAAGTTTAAACTCGGCCCGACTTGCCTAGCTTGCACTACTAACAATTAGACCTGTTCATGGGCCGGGCTGAGTGGGGTTCGGGTTGGGATTTGTCTCTATATTAATAGAATGTACTCAAGCCCAAGCCCAAAGCCCAGCCTGACCATTAGGCCTAGGTCTTAAGCCCGAGCCTGACCCTTATATAAAGCCTGAAGCCTAGGCCCAAGCCCGAGCCCAGCTAGAAATTGGAAAAATATATTTTTTTCTTTTTTATTCAATAAAAAACTATTTTATTTATATTAAACGACCTCAAAACTTAAAAAATAATGAAATATCTCACTATTACTTGAAAAAGAGAAGAATAATGAAGAAAAAAATTATTATATATTTTTATTATATAAAAATATATATTTGTTATATAAAAATATTTTTATTATATAATACATTCTTAAGTCAGGCTTGGGCTGGGATTTTTTGAGAAAGCCCAAGATCGACCCAAAAAAGGTCAATCCCGGTGTTTTAGGTCTATGCCCATGGGCCTAAAATCTTGTTGAAGTCCAACTTAGATTGGGTCAGGCCGGGCTGGCCGGCCTATTAGGATACTCGGCCCATGAACAAGTCTATTAACCATCTAACTGTTTAGGTAAAATGGATAGACCAATAATGTCATAATTAAATAACTAAAATTAAAAAATAGATATAAAAACAAAATATAGAAATTTATAGAAAAAAATAGCATATCTTAAATATTATAAATTTAACATGTCAAACAAAGATAATTGTGATAAACATGAATTATTTTTATAATTAATTATGGAAATGGAATAGAAAATTTAAAGCTACCAAAAATGATATGTATATTTTTCTTTCAAGTCAAATGGATCAATATATGATGTCATAATTATATAATAAAAACTCAAAATATAGATAGAAATAAAATCATATAAAATAAAAATGTCAAAATACTTGTGCATATATCAACATTATATATTTATAATATTAAACAAAAATAATGGTTAATAAAAAGTATTTTTATTAGCATTAATGGAAATAAAATACAAAATTTAAATCTACCAACATACCATACTTTGATTACTTATCTTTTTTATTAATGGGTTATGATAATTTCTATCAAAAAATAATAAAAATATTATAATTATTTAAAATTATCACATACAATGCACATAACTATTTAGTAGTTCTGTATAAAAAGATAAAGGAATGAGTCATACAATTGAGCCTGATTGGAGGTGGGTGATTATTGTGAAAGGAATTAATATATCTTTGAACTTTGAACTTAGAAAAGAGGTGAGTATAGTGCCCTTAGGACTTAAAAAATCCAAAGGTTTTGATGTTGCCATTTCCACCATTTTATCGGGTCCAAATGTAGTAGGCATGTTAGGTAAGCACAATGCGTGAGCACATAATAGCTGTGTGATACATGTCATAGTTAATACGCTTTTCATCTAAACATTTTTGCTCCGTTAAACAGAAATTATCCATTATTTTATTATCTTTGTCAAAATAATTAAAAATAAAAATAATGAGAAAGGAAAACCTAAATGTATTCGGAGTTGAGACTCATTTATGTTTTCCTTGTTTATTGTTTTTTATTTTTAATTATTTTGACAAAGATAATAAAATAATGGATAGTTTCTGTCTAACTGAGTAAAAACGTTTGAATGAAAGGTGCATTAACTAGGACATGTGTCACATAGCTATTACGTGCTCACTCATTGTGCTTACCTAATGTGCCTACTACATCCAAACCCCATTTTATCCGACCCATCAAGTTGCACATTAACATTATTCATTACTCCTAAATTTCTTGTGGATCTCCATCGTGTAATTCCAAAAAGGCTTTTCTAGTGACTAAAGACAAAGGTCAATACACTTTTGGTCCATTCATTGCTTAAATTTTTATGAGTCTTAGGTAGGGGTGAACAAGAAAAACCGAAAATCCGAATCAATTGGTATATATATATATATTGATGTAGGTGCATTCGACTGGACCAATGGCGGACCTACATGTGTCAATTGGCGCGGCTCAGGGTAGAACCAATTAGGGTGTGCGTAGGACTGAACTCGACAGGCCTCGTGGAACCAATCGCGTGAGATAACCTGGTTGGATAGCTAGCTCCCCGTGTACGGACTCTATCTCGACTGCCCGAGCTTTGTCATCACCTGGTGGCTTCAAGTATAAATAGGGGGGGTGCCTCCCCCAAGGTAAGGATCCAGAACTTAATATTCTCGAGCTCTCCTTGAGATCTCTTATCCTCCTTTGTGGCCTCGTTTGAGTCCTTGTACCTTAGGCCTCGGTCACCTTGTACAGACGTGCTAACTTGATCGTCGGAGTTTCCGCCTTGGGTGTCAACCCGAGGCCTCTAACGTGTTCTCTCACCTCGCAGGATCGATCTACCCACCCTTGGCCACCTCGGTCACCTCAGACACCTTGGGCCTCGGGCACCTCGCACTTTGGACACCTTGGCTGGACACCTCGGCTTAGGGGCAAATTGACAGTGTTGACCTCAGTCAATTCGAGCATCAACATATATATATATATATATATATATATATGTATATTATATATATTTAGTTTTTATTATATATTATGTGGAGACTAGGGAAAATTTATTTTCTTGG